ATGTGTCCCGTCCCTTCAATCAGGTTTTAAGTCTAAGGAGAGAGATGGACATGAAAACAGATTAGAGCAAGGAAGTGTGATTGGTGCTATGACCAATGCCAGGATAGGGTACATGAGGTTCAAAGTAAGTAGTCAATTTCACTGAGATTGGTGGAAATGTCAGGAGAGACCACACAAAAGGGGAGATACCCAAGGATGCTTTCCTCAGTTTGAGTACCCCTATGATTCCATGTTAATCCACTGGAGGGTTCTTGGTTCAGAAACCACCTGCAGCTTCTGATGAAAAGGGAAAAGACAGAAGTGAGAATCAGTACTGAGCAAAGATAAAAGAATAGAATGAGGAAATGAGATTTAATAGAGTAAAACAAAAGTATCAACCAAAGTATCAATCTAAAAAATAATGGTCTTAGATTGTAAAAAATAATTGTTTTTTCTTATAATACTACTTGATTGTCTATAATGGCAATTCTGGAAAAAAAAATTCCTGAAATGTTTTAACAAATGAGATGTAGGAATGTGGCATTTATTGATTCATTCATTAAAATATTTAATGAGCATTTACTATGCTGGGGATGCAGATCAAACTGTATTCCACTTGAGGGAGATGGAGGAGACTATTACACAGAATGCAATGAGAACTGTGAAGGATCATGTGACCCACAGTAACTGGACACAAGGCAGGTAATTTAATGGAATAATCAAGAAGGCATTTCTGAAGAGTAGTGTTTAAGCTAAGGCTTAAAACATACAAAGGAACAACCAATGAAAAGAGTTGGTAGAAAAGGGTTCCAATGGAAGGATCTAGAAGTACAACATCCCTGAGCCAGGAGGGGGCTTGGTGCAAATTGAGGAGCAGAAAGGACATCAGCGTGATCAGACAGAGTCAGCAAGGGGAGAATGCTACCAGAGAGGCCTGGAGAGGGAGGCAGGAGCCAGAGCATCTATTTCTGGGCAAGGGTGCAGGGTTTGAATCTTATTCTAAGAACAATGAAAAATCATTAAGGATTTTAAGCATGAAAGGGTTGTGGTTTGATGCACATATTAAAAGATCACTCATACTGCTGTGTGGAAAATGGGATTGGAGATTGGGGTGGGATCAAAAGAGAAAGGATTAGCCTAGGAGAGTGATAATTGGCTTGGATTAGTTCATAGGAGTGGGGAGGAAATCAGGTGCATAGATTCAGAATGGGCTTTGAAAATAAAACGTGCAATGCTTGCTGGTGGGTTCAATGTGATAGGAGAATGCATGAAAGGAAGACGTCAAGAACGCCCAGGTTCTTTACTTGAATAACTGGATTGACAAGTGGGCCCTTGAGTGCACTGTGGATGGGAAGCCTTCCAGAGTAGGAACAGGTTGGGAGGTGAGAACTGAGAGTTGGGCTCCTATGAGACAGTCAGATGCAGATAAGTGAGAGGCAGGCAGCTGACCGTGTGGGTCTGGAGCTCAGAGGAGACGCCTGAGTTGAGATCTAAATCAGGAAGGATAAAAGTTATGTGGCTGAATAACTTCTCAGGCTCACTCAAGCAAATCTCGTAACTAGTGCAGCCTATTCTGCAAAAATCCTTGATTGTGAGGGAAAAGCAGGAAGCAAGTTTCCACCGACACAATGCTTATAAGACCCTTTTCCCCTCCAATCTCAGCTCTATCTGCCTTTGGCCCCTGACCACACAGTTGCTGGAACCCAAGGGCAACTGGAGTCAATCAAGGAGTTGAACTCTATGCGAGTCTCTCTCCCCCATGGGCCAGGCCAGGGCCTGGAGACCGGCTTCCAAGGTCTCCAAGATAAGGACCAAGGTTGACAGATCAAGGGCAAACAAGGCCCGTGTGAAAGTCTTTGGTGAAAGCCAAGACCAGCTCTTGATGAAGAATGCCTGGCCCAGCGCTGGTGAGGGTAAGAAAAGACGAATGAGCAGGCTGAGTCCTCCCCGAGGCCGGAAAGAGCCCGGAGTGGGGGACACAAAGGCTGTCTCCAGGCAGCTCGGCCGGAGAAGGGCTGCAGCTTGTTTCTACTTCTTGGGCCCATCCAGGTGTCCATTGTACCTTCTGCAGCCACAGCGCAACTCGCTGCCTCAAGGCGCACTCATAACAGACCTTGACCCCAAGAGCTGTCAGGGACAAATACATCTCATATACATGACGTGTGCATCTGGAGACAGGAAGACGAATCAGAAAATCAGAATACAGGCGTGGGAAAATAGAAAGACTAAGAGAAGTTAATTTGCATAAAAAATGTGAATATCTTAAGAAGAGTCAAAGGCAGCACAAAATATTCTTTGAAGGTTGAAAATATTTCTGAACTAAAGATGACATTAGACAGACTGAAGGGGAAAATGGTTACTGGATAGATGTAGAGAAATGGAGACAGATGGAGAAGACACAATATTCAAAGAAACAAGAGAAAAATTTTCCAGGATGGATTACTGACAACACCACACACACACACACACACACATACACACACTTAGGTGAATTCCATGATTATGCTTCCAACCAGAAAGGACAAATTAGTTACAAATGAAAAATAATTAGATTTTTACCAGACTTTACATTTGCAACACTGGAATCTATACAATGGAACAGAATCTACAGATTCTGAGAGAAAATGTCTTCCCCCTAAGAATCCTAAATCCTGACAAGATATGATTCATCTGTAATAATAATAAAAAAAATTACTTGAAGGTATATCCTCAACAGGTAAATCAGAACATACACTTCAATATGAAAGAAAATGAAGAAAAAGTGAAAAGGTGGTGAGCAATCTATCTGTAATTAAATCCAAATAGGTAAAGATGGACCCTTTGGCACTGTGTGATGTGAGTACTGAATAAACGTTTTTTAAAGTCAGGCTCTATCAAAGGGAAATTCTAATAAATGTACCAACTGTCTCAACAAAATCAGGGCATGAAGGGAGAAGAAAAAAGAGCTGACAAATGACAAGACTAGAGACGCACATAGGAAATTAATCCATCGGTGACAATAAAAACCAAAGGCCAAAGACTCCTCTTCATTGTTATGAGCTTTGGATTTGTAAGAACTATTTGCATGTTATAAAGATGAATGCATTTTTTTATCATCTGTTACATTTTTTCTGATATCATTTTGCCATTGATTTAGCTTGCGGCACTTTTCAAAAACACAAGTGTCTTGAATTTTTAATGCTCACATATGTCTACATCTCTTGTTCTAAATTCAGAGTTTGAAAGCTAGGCTACAAGGTATGCCCTTCCCCAGGATTGTAAAAGCAGTCTCCAAGATTAGCTTGCAACATTCTCACTTTTCTATTTTTTATGTTAAATCTTTATAATCAACTTACAATGTACTTTCAACATGGAGACAATAAGAATCTAATAATATTTATATGCTTGTAGTAAGTCTCCCTTTACTCTCCATTCAGTCCAAACCCAGTGACCCTAACTTTTTGCTCTCCACTTGTTCACTCTGAGTTGCTTAAGGCAAACTTAACGCCATACATTTTTGTATCTAGACTTGGTTTTTCTAAGTCTGTGCCTTTGTTTACTTCTTTCCCTCTACCCCATTTTCAGTTCAGTTCCTTTCTATCTGAAACAAACCTGCCTGGTTATTTAGCTAGTAGCGCCTCCTTCCTTAATACAGAAGTTCGGTTGGCCAGGGTGGTCATGGGACCCAGTTTCCTTCCGTAAGAGGAAGGGCCGGACCACCAAATGGGCTTGCGGGGAAGGAGGGTGTTTGCCTAGAAGAAGCCTCAGCTCCGCCAGCATCGAGCTGCGCCATTGCCCTTTCTCCTTCCTCTCTGGAGCATGGGTTCAGTGCCTGGAGGTAGCATTCTTTACGGCAACATTCAGTCATCAACAAATGTTTGGCTGAGTACACGTGTTTGGTGCATTTATGACTAATTCTGCAACAAGTGTATTACAAATCTAACTTGGAGCATGAATTTACCTACACATAATAATAATTTTGTAGGAAGTGAGATGGAGAGAATGATACTAGCTGTCCTTTTCAAAGTGGGATCCATACTAATATATCATTTTGCCTCAATTCTAAGTAATTTAAACTAGTTTAACAATTAAAAAAATACTATGGCACAGAATGCAAGATGAATACAGTTTTCAAGATCAATCATGAGACTTAAAAACATTAGAGCTGAGTCACCACTAAAGCACTTAGGGTACAAATCACTCTCCTTCATTATTACAGGCAGAAAATTGGATAAGCACAGATTTAGGGGGAAAATGCAAATTGTTGGCTTCAGTCCCGTCTCATATTCATGACTTCCTTTTAGCATATTCGTTTACTTGTGATTTTTTATATATATATATATAGACCTTTAAGTCAGGCTCCAACTGTCAGTGATGAGCTGCCATTTCACATAATTTCTGGAAGAGTCCAAGTGAAGCCCAACGTGAAGGAATTCACAGAAACAGACGCCATCTTTGAGGACGGCACCATGGAGGAGAATATTGATGTTGTCATCTTTGCTACGGGATACAGCTTCTCCTTTCCTTTCCTTGACGGTCTGATCAACGTTACTAATAATGAAGTGTCTCTGTACAAATACATGTTCCTCGCTGAGCTGGAGAAGCCTACACTGGCTGTGATTGGCCTCATACAAGTTGTGGGCTCCGTGCTGCCTATTGCAGAAATCCAGTCTCGCTGGGCTACACGAGTGTTCAAAGGTATGTGAGTAAATGTTTGGGAAAGGCCTCATATTTCAGGTAATGCTAATCCTCAGTTCTTCCAGCCCTTGGTGCTCTGCTTTCAACATAATGCATGACTGCTGTCCCCTAGAATCCTGACAGACCCTGAATTCTCTCTTCTAGGGCTGAGCCAATTACCCTCAGTGAAGGACATGATGGCAGATATCGCCCAGAGGAAAAGAGCTTTGGAAAAACGGTAACTAAATAACTGGTAACAACTAGGTAGGGACCCGCATAGGGATCATGGAATTCCTTACCTGGCACCAAATCCACGCTTCATGTCACTCAGTCGTGTGAGCTCCCTCCATATCCTATGTCATTATGTAACAAAATCAAGTATGAATCTTTGTTATGCAACAAATAACCATGTATGAATTCTCACTAAATCACATTAAGTCTGAATTTCAGTTCTTATCCTCAGTGTCGGTCATTATCGGTTTTTCCTCCAGGGTCTCACCAGAATCCAGGAAACCTACGTGAGTCCCCCCAAACGTGGGATAGTCTGAATGTCACCACATGACGTTCCTAATCCGACATCCTCATTGCTTGAGTCTAAAGCCCACTCTGGAAGCTCGGAGCGTTTGTCCTCCCTGCCAGGAGGGTGAGGATGGTGCCAGCTGAGCTGGGCTCAGGGTGCAGCCTCCTCAGGAACCCCACACAGCGATTCCCCCACATCTTGCCATGGGGTCCCAGACTCTCCCACACCGCTGTGTGAAGCCCCTTTGTCCCCCTCTTTTTGCCTCGAAGGCATCTATCAGATTCTCTGCTGGGAGCCTAGACTCCCAGGGGACAATAGCCAGTAGTGGGGACACTTTCCAAGAAGATTTTGATTTAATCATGTAACAAAAAACACCAGAGACAAGGAAACACAAAGGCTGGACTACTTTGACAGAATGGTGGAGAAGAGGAATGTAGACAGAAAATACACAAATTAGTATCTTAACCACCTTGCCACACACATTGTTTCAGGTTTCTAAAGACTTTAGTGTGTATGTATGTGCTTTCAGATAAAGATGCAAAATTCATTCCCATTAACCCACTCCATTTTACAATCAGTTTTACAAAAGTTGCACCACAGAAAACCAATGGCTGAGGAAGCATTCGAGTGTCATTTTCATCCATTTCTGAAAGAACAAGAGGTGACACGTTTCTAATTCATTCATTAAAAATCTACTTTGTGCCTATTATGCCAGGCGTAGTTCTAAGCCTGTCCAACAGGACTATGGAGAGTGGGTCGCTTTAGCTTCTGGTTTGGTCTCGTCACCTTTAAACTGAGTAGAAGTAAGTCTTGTAGCTTTCAGCTGATACACAGCTCTCCTCCCACCTGTTTCAGGTACGTGAAGACACCCCGCCACACACTCCAAGTGGGTCACATGGAATACATGGATGAGATCGCCACCCTGCTGGGCGTGAAGCCCAACCTGCTGGCCCTCTTTCTCTCGGACCCACAGCTGGCCATGGAGGTTTTCTTTGGCCCCTGTACCCCGTACCAGTACCGGCTACAGGGGCCGGGGAAGTGGGCCGGGGCCCGGAGGGCCATCCTGACCCAGAGAGAGCGGATCATCAAGCCCCTGAGGACGCGGATTACTAGCGAGGACAGTGGCTCATCCTCACTGCTCCCTTGGCTAAAGATGGCACCAGTTGGCTTGGCATTACTGACTGCTGGCTTAGCGTACTTTAGACACATTCATCATTATGATGCATAGCAATAACGGAATGAACAGTGAGTAGAAAAAACAGGTAATAGAGTCTACTACTCCTGGATCATTACATTTATAATTTTAAAGTCAGTAACATATCTCCAATATTATTTAGGAGAGCTATAACTGCTACAGAAAATGTTATCTAGATACACTTTACAAATAGATTTCATTCTTGAAAGATAGGTATGTATCATACTTCTCATTGTAATATGAATGCAGAAGAAAAGTTTATCATTAAAACGAATCCTAGGTAAGCTCTAGAATGTGTTTGTAACATAAAGTATACCTAAATTGGTTTCACAAAGCTAAATTCTCCTTAAAGTAATTTAGAAATAAAGTGTTACTTTATCATTGATTTTATTTTCAATGTTATCTTTCCTTCCTCTGAGCAATTCCATCATATTCTAATCCGGAATGAAAGCTGAACCTTTTTAAATTGAGCCTCTATTTGTTTTTCATGCTGATGTTTACAGCATAGAAATTAAAAGTCACAAGGAAAAAAACTTTTAGGCTGTCGTTTACTTGAAACTAAATATGCATTTGTTTTCATTTCATTTGATAACAACCCTTTTATTTTGAATAAACCAATTTTAAAAAGTGCAATATACTTCAGATGTTTCAAAAAATTACACTAAAGGCTCAATATTTAGAAATAAGCAATTATGCTCCATAAGCAGCTACATTACATTAATCAAAGGCTAGGTGACACCCAGGGACCAAACACAATGACAGGCTGGCTGACCTGGTCATTCTGCCCAGCTTCTCAGCAGCTGAATAGATGTGAAGTTTTGGGGATGCCAGAAGGGTTCTCTGCCTACAAAATGCCTCCTCCTCCCACTGACTATGTGAAATCCTTCCCAGATTCAGTCTCTGTTATTTAGCTGAAGGATAGTCTTCCCTTGTCCATAATAACAGAATTCTCTGCTGCGTTCCTATTTCATGGGAGGTCAGAAACACAAGTTTGGTGCTGACCACTGGTAAAGGGATCACACAAAGCTACTGAGACGGCCTGGGCAACAGAAGCCCCCTTGAACTCATGGAATGTGCCTGAAAGTTTATCCAACGCACACCTGGGAAGCCCCCATGGAAAATACTTCTCAACTTCTAACTCTCCACATTTGCACCTCTTAGAGAAATCACCAGCGTAATTTTCTGAAGCCAAGTCCCTCCCAACGGTTATAGTTCTGAAGGTGCCCATCAAAAACATTCATTTTGACGATGTTGTTTCATTAAGTTAATAGCCAAAAACTTGTGGAACTGACTTTAGAAATAAATGTTTTCTTGGCGGTGAGGACGTGGCTCCAAGTCCTGAAGCACCTTTTCTGTCCAAAGGCTTTTAGTGTGTACTTCCTGGGAACGAATGGCTGACGAATATTCTGCCATCCTGGGTTCTCCAGGCGTCTCAGACACTAGAGGGTGAGGAGGCTCCCCAAGGTATTTCAAGAGCCAGGCCTAGATGTAAACTCTGGAATCTGCCCTTCGGGGAGGGATAATCTATCAGACTCCATCAGGAAGCCCCAACGAGTCCACACAGTCAGATGTGTGTGTCTCCGAGAATGGCCCACTCCAGAGAGGCCCCTCAGAACAAATGGACCCTCTGTGAGGCTCAAACAGGCCTCCACCTTCTCTTTCTTCTCAGACAACACCCAACAGGGAGTTGCGCCCAGTGAGCGCTGAACAAATACTTCTCACTAAAGATCTCCCACTGGGCAAGCCCATGGCCGAGGGGAGGAAATGAGTAGGAAGACATGTTATAAGCTTAGTATTTCTGACCTGTGCTTTTCCCTGAATCTTGGAAGGAGTCTATTTCAATATAATGATACTTACAAATGTGAAGCAATTTGAAACATGAGCTAATTATGCTATATAGTGTCCTTTAGATGCCAGGATGCCTGAATATCCCCTCATGTGTGAGATGGCAG